TCCCTTCATATTTGTCCACTATAGAAACTGGAACAGATGTTACTTTCAGTACTAATATGATGCATCCGTTTCATTGACCTCGGAAAGAGTGGCTAATAAACGTTTAAACAGGCATTCAACCATGATGTGCACAAAGGCAACTTTTAGCCTGGAAAACTATTATGATGACAGAAGCCCTGGGGTAGAAGAATCATGGTTCACATTGCACGGAGATAAGCATATTTTGCTCGTGAAGGGCTTGACTCTCTTCTGGCAAAATTCCTATGGGAAGTAGATTGGTCCCAGAACAAGAGGGGGTGTGAGTGTGGGGGGCATGGGGGTAAGGGACTATATGGTGGATAGTCACTTCTTCCTGTAGTGCTAGTATCTGAGAGATACCTTATATATTCCTTTATGAAAGTGAAAATGTAAGACCGTGGAAGGCAACCCATAGCAAGCTTTGTTAAATGCAAATCATAGGGTTAAAATGGAAGGTGTCACTGAGCCTAGATGTATGTTAAAGGGAGGTCAGAGACCTATGTTTATTACTTTAGGCTCAAAGTGACGGGTAGTTCAAAGATTAAACTCCTTTACAAAACATGGTATGCATTTTTTTTTTAAATCATATATTTTTTTTTTTTTGAATGAAAGCATCCTCATCTACTGGCTGAACATGGACAACGTTTCGTGTTTGCGAATGCACTGGAATATGAAATTGGCCAGGACTGATCTATTTCACATCACTGGTTTTCTGTGCATCTCGCTGTCTTTAGACAATTGGATTAAAGGGTAAAAAAATGAATTAGATTGTTTTTAGCTGTTTCTGTTGTTTAACTCAATATTTATAAGATAAGAAATGTTATTTAAATATATTTTATTTGCATAAAGCCTTTTTAAATAACTGTGATGGAGAATGGAGAATAAATCTTTGCATTTTTGTTCTCTGGTCCAGTGCCTTAAAATAATAAAGAAACATTGGTAGCGCTATATACTTGAAAACATGGAGCCAGGGCCCTTCCCAAAAGTCATTGAATAACTGGGGCTAGAAGGGATCTCAAGAGGTCATCTAGTCCACCCCCGTGCTCACGACAGAATCATCCCTATCTAAAGCGTCCTATACGTGTGTTTGTCTAACCTGTTTGAACTGCACTAATAACCCTTTCTCTCAGTTAACAGGCACAATGCCCAAACAGCCAAGAACACCTTAACTTGCTGCACAGGTAAAGCAGGGAGATGAAATGCTACTAAAAATTGCGAGCCATTTAAAAATAAAATACAATTTGAATTCTTTTTTATTTGCCTTGTGTCTTTTTGAGGCATCCATTCACATTTCCAGCCTGTGCTTCTGCACCACAAGAGCTAGGAAAGAAAATAGAGATTCTTGCATAAATGCAGAACTTCAGGACCTGGGGCTTTGAGAGAAACCCCAAAGATCGTGACACTTTCAATGAAATCCCATGCTGGCAACACAGAAATAAACAAGCAGTCCTGCAGCCAAACTTTCTCTGCAGTATGGTATGCCTGAACAGTTACAGTTTTTTTTTTTAATTACTATTGGAAAAGGTGGATACTGAATATAAGGGAGATTTGAACTAATAAATAAAAAAGAGGCAACAGAACAATAAAGTAGGTTATATGAAATTCCTTCT